CACACACACACACACACACACACACACACACACACACACACACACCTGTCAGAATGGTCTGGAAGGCCGTCTCGACGTTGGTGGAGTCCAGAGCCGACGTCTCCAGGAAAGACAAACCGTTCTTCTCTGCAGGACGAAGTTGAGCCACAGGTCAAGTTAACCACATTAATAAGTCACAGACGAGTTCGACCTGTTGCTCTGACAACAACTGAAAAACGTCTGTCACGTTCATTTATTCATCAGAATCAGCATAAGATGACAATTATAAGAAATGAGGAGTTCATTCATCGAACCACTTAGAATTCATCACGTGGAACATCGTCATCATGGATTCATCAGTTTGTCTCATTTAGTGAGAGAAAGTTTAGAGAAGACATTCTTGTGCTTTCAGAGTCTGTAAATATGATGTTTGTGTTGATGTGGTTTCACTGAACACTTCCTGGTTAACTGAAGTCTGTTTAAAACCCAGAGTGTGATGTTGTTACCAGCGAAAGCTCGGGCCTCGTCGGTGGGAACAGCCCGGAGGTGACGCAGGTCGCTCTTGTTTCCCACCAGCATGATGACGATGTTGCTGTCGGCGTGGTCTCTCAGCTCCTTCAGCCAGCGCTCCACGTTCTCGTAGGTTAGATGTTTGGCGATGTCGTAGACCAGGAGAGCCCCCACCGCCCCGCGGTAGTACCTGCAGCCACGGGCACAGGAAACACTGTGAATGTCTGGTCATCATCAGTCCACTTCACCACACACACACACACCTGTGTGTGTGTAAGTAAAACATCCTGACCCCCCGCTGACCTTCTCCTCTACTCACGCTGATGTGATGGCCCGGTAGCGCTCCTGTCCAGCTGTGTCCCAGATCTGGGCCTTCACCGTCTTGCCGTCCACTTGGATGCTGCGTGTGGCGAACTCCACTCCGATGGTGCTCTTACTCTCCAGGTTGAACTCATTGCGGGTGAAACGGGACAGCAGGTTACTCTTCCCAACGCCAGAGTCACCGATGAGGACAACTGCAGCACACGATGGAAAAAAACACGACTTATAAGCTGTGAACGTGTTAGAGTAAAGAATGAACAGATACACTGTTCTTCAGTTGGAGCTCTATGTTATAACCATGTTCTAACACATATTATTTCACTCTCTCTCGTGAAATACTAACAAATGAATCTTTTAGCATTTAGAGAATCAAACGTGTGACACGTGACAGGAAACATTGAATCTTTGGGACAAAAGAACAAATGTCATCAACTTGAGCTTCAGGAAAGTGTGATTGTTATTTTTCAGTTTCGGTTATTTAAGAACTGTTTTGAGAAATATTTCACTTTCAGATTTCAGCCTCTTAAAGGAGATTTTCTTCTTTTCTGTGACACGATCTCTGATTTGAAGACGTCACCTTCAGCTCAAGGAAATCTTATGACACTTCATAGACTCAAGGATGAATCAAGTAAAAAACATTGAACTCTGATAAATAGTCGTAAATACTGTTAACGCTGTTTGATCATTTGACTTGTTTCATCCGTTTTCTTTATATTTTTGATTATCGCCCTGCACATTAATGCTGCTGGTGTGTGGATTTATTCACCTGAGGTCTGCTGCAGCAGCTCACTGAGAAAACTGTTGTATATTCTTATGTTCTGAGTTTAAATGGAGAAAGAGGGACTCAGACTAACTTCTGTTCATTTTAAAACAGTTACTGAAGCTGTGGTTTCTCAGACTCCTCGTGTAATTAACATTAGTTTCAGTGAACCAGTGGATTCCTCTGTTGTGTGTTGGTTAGTGTGCAGGTGTAAACATGTGAAGCACATATGAAGCACATATGAAGCACATGTCAACATGTGGATCACCTCCAGCTGTCTGATCTCTGACGTGTTGATTCCATCGTTTGTTTACTTGGTTCTGGAGCTTTATTTTTTTTTTTTTTACCTAATCTAGAAAAGCAGCTAACACCTAGCATGAGCATTTAGCTGTGAGCCCCGCAGCGAAGTGGTTAGAATCCAGGTAATAGCCTGGTCCTGACTCTGACGGGGCGTCACGCTGATAACGTGATAACGGTTAACATTAGGTGTGTCCGCGCCCACCGCTCCCGGCTAACAGCTAACGGCTAACGGACAGGACGCCCGGCGAGCGACCCGTTACCGAGCAGCAGCCGCGGGCGTTTGTTCGGAAGGAGACCGGCTCGTGTTTTTAGTCGGAGTCACCGCGATGACACCGACTCGTCGCTGGAACGCGATCGGGACACAAAGGTGGACGTTAGCCTGGCAGCCAGTCAGCTGGCCTGTTAGCATCGGAGCTAAACTCAGACCCCGAGAGCAGCGCGGGTTTTACCTTTGAACAAATAGTCATACTCGTCGTCTCGAGTTCCCATCGTCTGTCTGAGACACGGTCAGTCCGAGGGTCGATGGTTTAATGGAGGAACAAGAAGATCTGCGGCTTCTCTTCCAACGGGAGTCTGTTTGGGAGCCCCACTTCCGTAACTTCTTCTTCTCGGGCAGCCTGGAGCTGGCGCAACACAGCGCAGGGACATCTAGTGGTCAAAGAGAGGAACCGCCAAATACACAAATATACAAATATACAAATATACAAGAACACAAATATACAAATACACAAATATACAAATACACAAATATACAAATATATAAATACACAAATACACAAATATACAAATACACAAATATACAAANACAAATACACAAATATACAAATACACAAATATACAAATACACAAATATACAAATACACAAATTTACAAATACACAAATATACAAATATATAAATTCAAAAATACACAAATACACAAATAAACAACTACACAAATACACAAATACACAAATACAAAATATACAAATACACAAATATACAGATATACAAATAAAAAATACACAAATATACAAATACACAAATATATCACTACAAGAAGATTTAACAACCACACAAATACACAGATATACAAATACAAAATATACAAATACACAAATACACCAATATACAGATATACAACCAAACAAATACAAAATATACAAATACACACATATACCACAACAAGAAGATCTAACACCTGACAAAAGACAAAATGAATTCAGACGCACAATCACACAATGCACTGAATAAATAATTTGGAAGAGAATAAAATAAATATATAGAAATAATGAACTCCCTGTCACAGAAATGTTGTTGTTACATCTTATTCATATTCATTTACTTTACTCATGTTCCAGACTTTACTTTGCAAACGTTCCGCTCTCTCGTTCGTCGTCTCTTGTATTTAGTCTCTTGTTCTTCGCTCGATGTGCAAATAGATAATAATTCATGCATCATCATTTCCCAGTTTGGGATCAATAAAGTCTCTCTATCTTTATCACCATCCCTTATTTCTTGGATTGTGTTGTTGAATCAAATACAATCCAATTATTCATAATATACATTATCTGAAGGTTCTTTACTTAGAACATCCAGACCTTTGAATTATAGAGAAACCAACAACAATGAGCAGCTCTGACGACTGACAGAGAAAAACCTCATTAACTGGAAGAACCCTCTGGAGGAGAAACCTCTGGAGGAGAAACCTTTGGAGAAACATCTGGAGAAACCTCTGGAGGAGAAACCTCTGGAGAAACCTTTGGAGGAGAAACCTCTGAACATCTGCCTCGAGTGGTTGGGATGAGCAGGAAAAACGAGGCGAGGAGAGAGAGAGGTGTGTGTGTGTGTGTGTGTGTGTGTGTGTGTGTGTGTGGTACACTTCATGCAAATAAGCAGCATAACAATACAACAACAACAATAAGAAGAACAGTAAACTTTATTTATTCAGCACCTTTAAAAGAATAAACTGTGACAGAAAGTTTAACAACAGAACATATTGACACGATAAAGATGTTAAACAATAAAATCTTTTGATAAAAGTTTCAAAAACAATATCAACAAATAAATAGTTCAAATTCATTAGAAGAAGATGATAAGAATAAGTTTTGTTTTCTAATCTTTTCTAATATGTAAGAGTTTGTTTCAAATCTCTGGTGCACAACAGAAAAAGTTCTCATCGTCCTTAAACATCTGAAACTTCACTCTCACACTTGAGAAAAGTGAGAAAAGTTTGTCCCACACTTTGTCTTGTTTCACCAAACGTAAAACAGTTGACTCTGAATTCAAACACAGAATTTTCTTTTTTCTTTTCATCACATTTATTTCTTCTTGTATTCAGGAAGGAATTTCTTCCATTTCACGTGCTGCAGAGAGAAAAGACAAGAGAAGAGATTACGTCAGATGATTGCGATCTGAACTCCAACAGCTCAGCTGGTTGTCACTCACGTTCTTCCCCCAGGTGAATCTGTGCTTCTTTGACTTCATATCATCCAGCGACTCGTAGGTGTTGCTCTGGCGGTTGGTGGCGGCGTCCCCGGGGATCTGCTCGTACGTGTCCTCGGGTAGACCGGTGTGTTTTGGCCTCTCAGCGACCTCAGCATACAGGACGTCTCTCTGGCCAGCTGAGCTCTCTGTGGGGCCCTCGGGGGCCTGGTGGAAGGGGGTGGGCCTCAGCGTGGAGCTGCTCGGCCTCTGGGCCCCGGGGTCGTGGAGGGAGTAGGTGTGGCAGGTGACCTTCTTCAGGGGACTGGGTGGATAAGACAGTGATGTAGTGGATCTGAAGTATTTCTCCTCCTCCTCCTCTCCCTCCTCTTCCTCCTCCTCCTCCTCCATCTCCTCCTCCCCCTCCCCCTCCTCCATACTGCTGCTCTCGCTCTGCGTCAGCTCCGTGTTTCCTGCTGGAGTTTTTGTGTAAAACACGTCTGTGGTTGTGTTTCCTCTCAGTCGGTCTGATCTGAAGGAGACGCTCTGGGTTTCACTCGGATGTGACACGGTGTCGGGGAAAGTGTCGCGCAGAGAGAAGCTCAGAGGAACGTTTCTCTTTGGAACTGGAGGTTCGGCCTGAAAGACATGACAGCTCAACTCAGAACACACAGATGTGGACACACAGATGTGGACACACAGATGTGGACACACAGATGTGGACACACAGATGTGGACACACAGATGTGGAACATCAGTGCAGCAGCAGCAGCAGCAGCTGGAATCCAGATGTTTCACTTTGGAGATGTACTGAGGGTTTTTTCTGTTACATCGTTGTGAATATTAAAGTTCTGCACTTAACTTAACTTTTAACTGAACTGTGCAATTTTCATTCAGTCTGTAGTATTCAATGGTTCATGTGCGGTCAATCACCGCACATATTTGTTTTCACACTGTTTATTTTAGAAGTTTATTCCATTCACATTTATTTTCCTCACACTTAAGTATTATTATCTTTACACGTGTCGCATGTTACTTATTATTACTTCCTGTTGCTTATTTTTGACTCTTGCTGCTGTAATATAGCAAATGTCCCCATTGTGGGACTAATAAAGGATTATCTTATCTTATCTTATCTTATCTTATCTTATCTTATCGTATCTTATCTTATCTTATCTTATCGTATTGTATCGAGTGTCCACAGTCTGTGGTGAAGGGACAAACACCTCGCCGTCGCCCAGACCATATTTCATCGTGATGTCACGTGACATCACAATACCTCATATTTACATGTAATTACCATCTCTGATATTTATTATCTTCCCTAAATGACATTAGATAAAAATAGTTCTTACGGTTTTTTTACACTTAAGAAGCTGAAATAGTTCAGCCAGTGTTCACACAGCTGTTTGAAAATATATAATGTTGGAAATCTTTTTGTACAAGTAGAGAAAAGTGAACATGTTGTGATGAGCTGGTATTAAAGTGTCTCCACACGCAGCACGTGGATCTAAAGGTTTGGTTCTGTAACATGGTACCTGAGAGAGGGACATGGCGTCTGCAGACACTGTCCCCGTCAGTTTACAGCTCTGAGACTTGGATGGTAGATCAGGTGGCTGCGCTGTAGCAGGCTCATGTTGCGGCTGAGTCCTTTGGTTCCTGTTGGTGGCGCTGTTTCGGGGACTTTTCTGGTCCCACAGGAACCGCAGAGCTTGGACGCTCACCCCAGACATCTTGGTTTTGTGGTTCACCACATCGTACAGTTCACCTTCCTGCAAAGACAAAGACGTGATGTTAATGAAGACACAGACGCCAGTCAACACTTAACTCCACAACCGTTAATCAACAGGCCGTGCTACAGACATGATGAACTGAACACACATGTTCAACACGTGTTCCGGTGACGAACACTTCCATCTTAGCTCAGTGTGTTTGAGAATCAGAACTCAGAACAAAGCAGAGGATCATGGGACGGCTCTAACTCTGCAGGTAGAGAATCTGTTTCACACAATATTAATCACTTCACTATTTATTATTTAATTTTGATTTGATGATGAAAAACGCACCAATTCATTTTGTAAATGTGGAAAGATTTGACCTCTTGGTGGCGCTAGAGGACAAGTCAGGGGCTCTGAGTGGGATTCATCCTCTGGGGACCATGAATGTTTCTACAACATATCCTGGTAACCAAAGGGATAGTTGAGATAGACCTGCTTCATTACCATCATGGATGAAAATAATCTCCATGTTTACACGGTGACCTATTTTAACTGCTGCTCCAGTGAGTTCCCAGGCTCCTCTTCACCTCATAGCAGCTGCAGGTCAGGTGTTCTCCAAACGGCTGGATGGGGCTGAGCCTGTAATGATCGATCAGCTCCATCAGGCTGTGATGAGTCTGACAGTCTCCTGATATGACAAACTGCCCGTCCGGATTCTGGGTGATGACAAAATGGCGGCACCTGTCGAGGCCCCTTTGGAGGAAAAGGCACAGTGAGAGGAATCAGACCGAGTCCAGCAGCGTTCAGCAGACGTGCTTTGTCTCACCTGTAGGACAAAATGTAGCCGACGGCTTTATCACTGAGGCGGATGAGAAAACAGCCCAGAGGCTTATCTCTCAGAAGATCCTCTGCTTCCCTGAGGCCGACACAGGAACAGATTACAGGCAAATTAGGTTTTAAAAATAAATCTCTTTATCTTCAGTCTCATCACACAGAGAAACAAGACACTTCATCGGGTCCTGTTACGTCCAGACTCATTCCTCCTGAAATCCAACTGACGAATGAAACATCTGAAAACACTTAAACTCAGCGGAACAGAGCGGATGCATGAGTCACGTTTACATTTAATCATAAAGTAAAACACACAATCAAACAGTGAATTCCATCAAGTATCGTAGTTTTGTTTTTACACTTATCTAGTTTACTATTAATAATAATACATATTGAAATGACCAAAGCTGTAGCCAGGAACGTTGTGAGTAGATTAAAGAACAAAAATGTTCCTTTTATTGAAACTTGACTTTAAGAGTAAAAGAAGAGAACCTGATGGTTTTGCAGTAGTCTCTCAAATTTCAAAACATCAGAGATATCAACAGTTTGCTGCAGGAGTCTTTTAAAGGCAAATAATAATATAATATAATATATATTTGAACGTGCTAAAACAACATGCATTAAAAAGTCTTTAACCTCCACAAAATAAAAGAAAGGAAAAGAAACCACTGATCCTCGAGGCTTTTTCCTCTCGTCTATGTTTCTTACTTTCTGGCAGCGAAGCCTTGAAACCAGTCTGGGAAGTTTCCGTGGTCCAGGATGAGTCCAGCCTGCGTCTCAGTGAACCACCGGAGCACCAGCTTCTTCAGGCCTCCCTGCTCCTGTAGCTCCACACCTGACATCTTCTCCATCCTCTCACACCTGTGAGCTGGACACGCTCTGCTCAGGTGGCGTGCAGCTGTCAGAGGACGACCAGCGGCCTCATTTGACTGTTTCCGTTGGTGCGTCTCTGGTGTGAAGAGAAGCTTTGTTTCACTTTATCAACACTGACTTCATTTTACTACCTGTTCCTGTGAGAGATAATGTGTTGTTCACCATGTGGGGACAGAAATCTCATGACACCATTATTGTTATAGTTATATATCATTATAGTTATATATCATTATACTGACTCATATTCCACGAAGGGAAAAACTGCCCAACACGAAACCTTCAAATTCTTAACATGTCAACAACGTCATTATTTTCACTGGTAATTTGCCCATAGAGTAAAAACTAATAAGTAAAAAGTAATTGACCCAATCACAGCTCGTCCTGAGGGGAGCACGATTTATATGATTTTCTCCTTTATGGTAAAATCAGCTGCAGAGATAATGAAGTTTAGAACAAAAGATAAACAACATGAAAACAAAGATGTTTCAATCAGAATCAGAATCTTTTTAAATTTAAACTCTTTATTTTTGCAGTTCACTTTCGGGAGCGCGCGAGACAACAGGTGTCATACAATCAGGCGCGAGCCCGACAGGTGGTCGTGGAAGAAGGCGGGCACGCGCACAGCAGGAGTGTCGTAAACTGGCTGAATGTTTCCTGACGTCACAGCTGATTCTGCGATTTCTACGTAAATATACGCGATTCATTAAACCTGACGCAAAAGTCTGAGTGGAGACGTGTTGGTTTTAAATTCGGCGACAAACGTAAACACGTGAATTCATGTTTTAAATAAGAGCTCGTCCTTTGTGTGGCGTTAGGTTGAAAACGTGGGGGAGAAATGTGGACATGTCACCGTCCTGGTGTTGACATTCATCTGTTGACTGTCCCGGAACATTAAAGTATCAGGTTACACTTTAAAATATCCACAGACTCAACGTGGTCACTGACGTTTCATGAAGCAACAAGCGAGCAAACGTTAAATGAGAGGTTTTCTGAATGAACTTCTGTTGACGCTCTGTGAGCAGAGGAAAGTTTACACTCGGCAGCTGGAGACGAGAAGGATTATTACAAGGTACAACTTTACTAAAGTTACTGAGTACTACTTTACTAAAGTTACTGAGTAAAACTTTACTAAAGTTACTGAGTACTACTTTACTAATG